AATATGTCATTTAGTTTTATGAACATAAAATGCAAGAAGTTTTTTTAATTTTGTATAAATTGGATCGTGGAAAACAAAACAAATATTTTAGGTTACATTAGTCAACAGAGGTTGGAACATGACAGTCCTCACCATTGAGAGGTTGTCTTTGTGCCTGGTGTGCTGATTGTTGTATGGATATTGCTTGTGCCAGTATTGCGCACCTTTGCTTTCATATCTTGTGGAGTATTTGTAGTTTGTGTGCCTTTTGATGATGTAAGAATTACCTTGGGTAATCTTTGTCAAGTGACTCAGCAGTCAAGGCATCAGCGATCGAGTGTCGCATGTGTCAGTGATCTTGTGTTGCATGTGTCAGTATCTTGTGTCGCATGTGTCAGTGGTCTTGTGTCGTATGTGTCAGTGATCTTGTGTCACATGTGTCAGTGATCTTGTGTTGCATGTCAGTGATGTTGTGTCACATGTGTGGTGATGTTGTGTCACATGTGTCAGTGATCTTGTGTCGCATGTGTCAGTGATCTTGTGTCGCATGTGTCGGCGATCTTGTGTCGCATGTGTCAGTGATCTTGTGTCGCATGTGTCAGTGATCTTGTGTCGTATGTGTCAGTGATCTTGTGTCGCATGTGTCAGTGATCTTGTGTCACATGTGTCAGTGATCTTGTGTCACATGTATTGCTCATTGTCATCATTGACCTTTGTCTTGCCATTGTCAAGGGGGCGGTGGGGTAGTGGGTAGCCTATATCAATGACGGTTAAAGTGTTATAAGGACATTATCTTGTCACTAGCGGTTAAAGTGTTCTTTGGGTCACCTATATCAATGACAGTATGAAGGTTCAGAATATCTCTGTATTGGGTGATATAAGTGACATTATCTTATCTCATCCTGTATCTTTAAAGTGTTCATGTTGGGTCACCTATAAATGACAGTAGAAGGTTCGAATATCTCTGTATTGGGTGATATATAGCTTATCTAAAAATAGTGGGGTAGCCTCGCTTGTCACTTGTCACCTTGGGTCACCTATATCAATGACACTCAGTATGAAGGTTCAGAATATCTCTTGTATTGGGGTAATATAAGTGACATTACCTTATCTTCTTCATGTACAATACTTTAATTTAAAAATAAATATCACCTTGTATTAGGCCACGCTTAACCGTAAACTCTCCCCGCTGCCACCTTTACCGAAGCTGTATTGCTAACGATCGATATGATGTCATAGTATAATGCATGCAGTGCACGGAGTTCGAAAAACTTTCGATTAGCTATTTTAGTTCACTGAGTATATATTTATTTTACTGACTTTCACACTGCTTATTTAAACCATGTTATACATTGAATCGTTTTCACACTCAACATAAACTTAATTTACCATTTTTATAGCAGTTTTAAGCTTGTCAGAATATGTTTCACAGATTTTAAAGATCCAGTTGAGAGGCAGACGTCATTTTGTTTACATGTCATATAGTCAATAGCAAGCTTATCGATCTTCAAAATAAAATAAAATGATATTTTGTACATTCAACATGGCGTAAGATAAATATGTTGTAAACATTTCCTTGGGTTATACGTTCTGATGTACGCCTTTTTTTATTATGAGCCTACCAGCTCGGGTGACACTGCTACAAAGAGGTGTACATCAGACCGAATTACCCTCGAGAGAAGCATACAACTTACAGTAATCACCTGGTAGTTTCCTGGGACAATGGGATAACAGTTCATTTGTCAATGGGATCATACTTCAGTTAGAATGGTTTTGCTGGACTATTGCTAATGTTTGCATTTAGTTTGTTTGTTTCCATGGACCTCTTGCTTAAATCTTGCCTTTGTCAGTGTGTGATGGATATAGCAGTAGTGTTTTAGTAAAGTAACTTTGTCTGTACGTCAACAGTGTTCCCAGTACTTCATCCTAATCTTGTTGCTGTTTCATCTTCTGATATTGAACATTTTTGGCTTGCATAATGATTTGTTTGTTCAGGACTATTAATGGCATTAATCTGACAGAATCTCACTTACCTTCCAGACCTGGCTTTTCACTCCCACACCTTCCATAGAAACACAACAATTCATTATTTGAGTTGCATGTGCTAAAGATTTTCCATTTAATGTGGAAGTTAGGAGAAAGTTCAGGGAATAGTTCATTTGCAGAAGATTGGTTTTTATGGGCTTATTTCATAACCATATTGAAATGTTTTACCTCCTTTATTTGTCCTTATTACATGAAGGAATTATTCACAGATATCCAGTAATATCTTCACTCAGTTTATTGAATTGAAAGTTAGGAACTATCCAGAACACAGTTATAAAATCATTATTATGAAACCATTATCCTTGTCATTGACAGAGTTAATATATATCAAAATATATTAGTCATAATCCAGTTTTATTGCAAACAAAATTGTACTGCATATAAAAGAACTAATATAATTATATGATTTATTGTTTGAAAATGCCCCTTGCTTTCTTCAGTTAAATGTAACAAACAATCATATAATCAGTGGGCGTGGGGTAGCTTAGTGGTTAAAGCTGCCTTCGCTCATCATGCTGAAGACCCGGGTTCGATTCCCCACATGGGTACAATGTGTGAAGCCCATTTCTAGTGTCCCCGCCATGATATTGCTGGAATATTGCTAAAAAAGCGGGCGTAACAGTAAAGTTAGTTACTCACTCACTATAATCAGTGCGAGGAGTTACATACATTTGACAAGATTCCACCCCAGTCACCCTCCTCTTCCTAATTCTTGGTGTATGAGCACAACAAATGTGCTTGCTGGGAAATGTCTGTGACTGGGGACATTTTGGCCTTCCCTACTGTAATTATGTAACAATTTCTGATGTTGTTCCCAGCTGTTTAAACCCCAGCTCACTCCTCCGATGTGTCACCCCTCACTCTGTGAAAAGTATAATCTTAAGGAATAATTCAGAAAGATTTATTTTAATATTTTAGATTCTATTTTTTTAATTTGATCTGTTTAAAAATGTTTCCACACTTTGAAATGTTTTTAATTACTTCAAAAATTTTAGTTGTGGGATTGCTTAAATAATTTTATCAATTTTACTGCCCCTGATATCAGTTTGATAACCCAGTGGTTCAAAGAGTTCGATTTCCTTTGTTCATTGCAATATAAAACGGTTGAAGATCTACAGATGATTTACTAATGAAGTTTAAGCAGAAATATAGTAACTGTGGTTTGTAGTTTGTTTGGGTTTTTTTATGCCGAACTCAGCATTATTCCAGCAATATGGTGGCACTCTGTAGAGGTTTGTAGACTTCTTCGAGATAATGTTTCATTTATATATATATATATGTAGTAATTGATATTACACGCTACATTTGACTTCTTTCTAAATGGCATTGTGTATTCATAGCTTTCAGTTGTGGGAACCTTTACTAATTAACACTTATCAGAGGGGTACACAAAGTAAGTGATCTAGACTACCAGTTGTCCTTCCATTTTGTGGAAGCCGTGGTGGCTGAGTGTGTTAGATCGCTGTCTGTGTGCTGGCGTGTTAGGTGCCTGACACTGAGCGTGTGTGTTCAAATTGAGTGTGCTCATCCTAAAACAACTATTTTACTGAGAAAGTGTAATCCCAAACAGGTAACGAATTATCAATCTGACATTGCATGGACAGAATGGAGAAAAGAGTATATTGTGTTGTGATCGAAGTCATGACGTCATCTTTGGTCTGTAATTTATCAATTTGAATGGGACCTTAAAATTATTGTTTGTCCTGATTGTTATCCATATCCTTTCTCGTAAGTTATATCAAAGTGGTTACTGTTGAGTCTCAACAGTCCACTCACTTGCGAACACATTGTGATATTACCGAAATACTCTACAAAACTTCTCATTTGTTGTGATGAAAACATTCCAATCCATGTCATATCCTGTGTGAGTGTTGTGTATAACTAGTGTTGTTTTCTATATATTGTTGGCATATATTTCAGTGTGATGTTTGAACATTATCACTTGTTACTTGTTGTATGGTCAGGGCTTGAGAACAGGTCTGTGGACCACCTGCACTAAAAGTATAATTATCATGTTTTGTGATGCACCACTGAGTAAAGGATTATCTAGATGAGAACGTTTCCCAGTCAGGTCTTCCCATTAAAATCACATGAGGCCTACGACAGTCTGTCAGTGCCTACTGTAGCTGAGGCCTACAACAGTCTGTCAGTGCCTACAGTAGCTGAGGCCTACAACAGTCTGTCAGGGCCTACTGTAGCTGAGGCCTACAACAATCTGTCAGTGCCTACAGTAGCTGGGGGCTACAACAGTCTGTCAGAGCCTACAGTAGCTGAGGCCGACAACAGTCTGTCAGTGCCTCATCCAGCTGTAGCATGCGATCAACGACAATCTGTCAGTGCCTACTGTAGCTGATGCCTACGATAATTTGTCAGTAGTGATCACATGAGACCTACTACAATCTGTCAATGCCTACTGTTGCTACAGCAGAAGACCTACTACAGTCTGTCAGCGGCCCCAGTATCTGTAGCGTGCCGCCTACTACAGTCTGTCAGTGGCCCCAGTATCTGTAGCGTGAGGCCTACTACAGTCTGTCAGTGGCCCCAGTATGTGTAGCGTGAAACCTACTACAGTCTGTCAGCGGCCCCAGTATGTGTAGCGTGAAACCTACTACAGTCTGTCAGCGGCCCCAGTATCTGTAGCCTGCCGCCTACTACAGTCTGTCAGCGGCCCCAGTATCTGTAGCATGAGGCCAACTAGTCTGTCAGTGGCCCCAGTATCTGTAGCGTGCGTCCTACTACAGTCTGTCAGCGGCCCCAGTATCTGTAGCATGAGGCCAACTAGTCTGTCAGTGGCCCCAGTATCTGTAGCGTGCGTCCTACTACAGTCTGTCAGCAGCCCCAGTATCTGTAGCATGAGGCCAACTAGTCTGTCAGTGGCCCCAGTATCTGTAGCGTGCCGCCTACTACAGTCTGTCAGCGGCCCCAGTATCTGTAGCGTGCCGCCTACTACAGTCTGTCAGCAGCCCCAGTATCTGTAGCGTGCGGCCTACTACAGTCTGTCAGCGGCCCCAGTATCTGTAGCGTGAGGCCTACTACAGTCTGTCAGCAGCCCCAGTATGTGTAGCGTGAAACCTACTACAGTCTGTCAGCGGCCCCAGTATCTGTAGCGTGAGGCCTACTACAGTCTGTCAGCGGCCCCAGTATCTGTAGCAAGAGGCCTACTACAGTCCGTCAGTGGCCCCAGTATCTGTAGCGTGAAACCTACTACAGTCTGTCAGCGGCCCTAGTATGTGTAGCGTGAAACCTACTACAGTCTGTCAGTGGCCCCAGTATCTGTAGCGTGAGGCCGACTACAGTCTGTCAGTGGCCCCAGTATCTGTAGCGTGAGGCCGACTACAGTCTGTCAGCGGCCCCAGTATCTGTAGCGTAAGGCCGACTACAGTCAGTGCTTCCTGTAGCTAGGATGATGCTGTCAGCATGTTAACGTATTCATCACCATGAAGTGCCTGAGGCACAGTGCACCAAAGAACTGTCAGGTAACTGAAAATTGTGGATGGGCAAAAGGTTGATGGGTAGTCCTTGAAGCTTCATTCAACTGGAAAGCATTTTGTCTGCTAACTGTAGAATCATTAGTGAATGAGTAGCCCACCAAGAGGCAGCACCTGAATCTCAATCTGTCACAAGCCTTATCTTGATCCTGTCCTGGGACTGGTCTCCCTGTGATTCTGTCAGACAAAGTTGGGGATGTAGATGAGCCTCTCAGCAATTAAGGTTTTCAAGTTGTGTTGTAGTTGGTTATTGTGTTGGTGAAGTTCAATAAAATCACAGATGTTGATGCTATTGGTGATCAATCGGTCAGGAGTGGTATATGGTCAGTAGTTAGGTGTGTGTGAGTCCAGTAACCTTGAACAAGACGACAGGTACACAGTCTCTCACACTCGCACATCGCAGCATATACCCAGAAAGACTTTGGCAATGAAGTTTTCTTGAAATTGGCTTTTATAAACATTTTTTGTAAAAAATATCATAAATTGCTTTTGTTAAGTCTTCCTATTTTGAGATAAAATATTTATGTCATTGTATTCATATGAATCTTTAAGAAGTTGACCCTTTCCCAACCGGTGATGTGAAATTTGTACATTATCTGTCAGCAGAGTTCATGGGAAAATTTTGTACAACCAATCACCAGTCAGAGACAAGTATGTTAATGCAAGACAAAGTAAGGAAGCCTATAGTGTGTGTTCATGAAGTTGTCATATTCACTGGGTGCCTGAACAAGACAATACAATAATCAGTATTACACAATTGCATCCAAACTATTGTTGAGTGGATGTTGTTGATTGATCAGTTTCGAAACACAATGAATGCAATGTGTCAGATTCACACCTTCTTATGGAAGTGACTATTTTCATACAAGATAAAGTGGAAAAGAGACGCTTAGGCCAGACCAATTTTATTTCTCATTTTACGGATTTTTGTCCTCCGACAACCTAAAGGCAGGAGGGAAATTTTTTTTAAAATAAATGAAGACTAAAAGTATTTTACTTATGGCAATTTATGAAAAACACAATCTAACAATAAATTTTCTTGTAAATTTACATGTTTGCCCAATAAAACATTAGGATTATATTTTTTGAGCGGGAAAAATTAACTTCTTCTTTTTTTTTATTCTTGAAAAAATATGACAGGCGGATCTGTAAAACAAGAAATAATATTGGTCTGGCCTTAAGACCTATTTTCTTTTCGAAAATTCTATTTTATGACAGATCTCTGAAAGGTATTTTGAATGATGTGTGAAACAGATGGTTGCTGTTAAGAAGCTGGGAAATGTAAGTTTGAGAATTGACATTCTGTGTTGTTGCCAATATGACAGTTGTTTATTGTTGTTAATAAAATGTATGCAACTAATGTTTTCTTCTGTTGTTTACTTTAACTATTAGGGGTGGGGTTGGGGGAAGAGCTGTCAAGGGAGCAGGTGCCCACAATCTGTGACCTTGTTGCATCATACCCAGATGGATCGAGAGTATTGCTCATGTTATCAACCACAGGTTTATCTGTTCTCGACTCAAGTACTCACTGAACACATGATAGAGCTTTACATTACATATATGTATGGTCGTACAACACTGTCTTGCTCTGAGGTGGTGAGGTGAAATGGGGCTTAACTTTAATGTCGAACTTTAATTTGGCTCAACATGCATGCATGTGTATGTGTGGCTGTTTGTACTAGCCCAGTCTTAAGCTGGTTTTATAATGCTAGCTCACTGAGATACCATGCCGCAGTGAAGCATGAATACCCCACTCAGACACATTATACTGACTCCGAGCCAACCAGTCCTTGTTGTACCCATTAATGCCGAGCTCCAGGCAGGGACCAACAAGTACCATATTTTAACGTCTTTTGGTATGACACAGCCAGGGATCGAACCCACAACCTTCCGCTCTCCGTGCAGATGCTCTAACCACTACACCACTGAGGCGGTAGTCATGCTCTGATGCAAGGCTAGTTTGTAAACATGACCTGTCATTGTGTAATCAAGTGCCATCTTTGATACTTACCTCATCTGGTATTAGAACAAAGAACAGGCTTCAGAAGAAAAGACTTCATGTTTGGATTGTAATTGTAATTTTTATTTTTTTGGAGAAGCTTTATATCCATGGCTGGCAAGTACCAGATATTTGCCTCTTATTAACCAGGTATTTCTGAAATGATGTCCTGTAAGATTTAATGGTAATCTATAAAGTATTGTAATAATAATAATAATGTCTATTTATATTGCGCTGGGTTCCATCCACAGAGGTGCATGCTCAAGGCGCTACAATAGTCACAGATGAGAAGTTCACGGGAGGAGATAGTTCATGGGGATAGAACTTTCTAAAGAGAAAGGTTTTTAGGTTGGTTTTGAATGTCTCAAGGGTGGGGGATTCTTTAATGTTCTGAGGTAGTGGGTTCCATAACTGAGGTGCTGCTACTTGAAACGATCTGTTGCCGTAGGATTTTAGTCTTGAGTTTGGTACTGCAAGTAGGCATTGGTTTTCAGATCTTAGACGCCGTGAAGGCTGGTATGGTGAGATCAGTTCTGATAGATAACTCGGTGCTGTACCATTCAAACAGTGGTAGGCAAAACACAAGATCTTGAAGTGGATCCGGGCTTCTATTGGTAGCCAGTGTAGGGACATCAATACTGGTGTTATGTGGCATCTTTTGCGCACCACTCACAATACGAGCTGCCCTATTTTGTACCTTCTGGAGTTTGTTCAGCAGATCCTGACTCAAACCATACAACAGACTGTTGCTGTAGTCAATGCGGGACATCACAAGTTGTTGGACTAGTGTTTTGTTACGTCCCTTGGTAATAAGATGGCGGATATTACCAATACTTTTAGATGGAAGTAGCAGGTCTGGCACACTTGATTAACTTGGGCTTCCATTGACAAGGGAGAATCAAAGATGACACCCAGGTTCTTTGCTTTGTCGGCGAATGGTATGAAAGAGTCTCCCACAGCCACTGACGTGATATTCAACTGTTGGATGCGCTGTCTGGGTCCAACGAATAAGTAGTATATACAATGGGGGTTCTGGATCACTTTCAACAAAAGCCTCTGCAAAGCCTTATTTACCAAATAAGGCTTTTGTCGGGCCCTTAGCTCTTGCTACCATTTCCCTACTATGAAAAAAAAGTTTGGGTCGATAGCGTTCTGGATCACTTTCAACCAAAGCCTCTGCAAAGCCTTATTTCACAAGTAAGGCTTTGGTCGGACCCTTAGCTCTTGCTGCCATTACCCCTACTACAAAGTTGGGGACCTCCTAGCCAGCGCCACCGGGCATGGCTGGAGTAATGGGACACCGCTATGCTGGAGGTAACACTGTGCCGCACGGCACGATCAATAATTCCGCCTTACAAACCCCCTACCTGGCCCATCCCTCAAGTAGTACAAGTTAGGCTCGCCTGCTTTGATGTCCACTTTATCTATGTTGTAAGTTTTGACTGACCATATAGGATCGGTGGCTCGCCACGGCTATCACCCTCGTGTTCCCCCGCTGGTATAGATACCTCACTAGGGCCCTATCTGGTATCTGTTTCTCTTTTCCACGCAATGGAGCAGCCGCTCTGCAACTATTGATTTTAGTTTGATAGCGCCTGCCGGTTTCTTATCAGTGAGCCGGTGACTTCATGGTTGATTGCCGACACCACCTTGGGTAACCTCACACCCATTCAGTCGATCGCTTTCCGGGTTGCCATCTCCTCGCATACTGATGTCCTAATAAGCTTCTGCCAAAGTCCTATTAAATCTCTCAACTATGGCTTGGCTGGCGATGGGCTCCAGCCGTGCCACGCCTGACCTTTGTATCGTGGTTTGGCTAGCAGTTGTGACACGCCACCCATGAACTCCCAACCCGGGTCAACTTGCAGCTCTGTTGGCCACGCCAGCGACTGGCGCTTGTATATGTCAATCCTCTGGCTACCTGGGCTCTTCTTCGCGGTCAAGGGTTCGCTTCCTTGTAGCGACTGGCTACGTCCACTACGGTTAAGGCATACTTGTACCTCTTGTCGTGGGTAGGAACAGTAGGTCTGCCTGGTGAACGCTATTAGGTATGTTAATACCGAACCTCCTTCTAGGCACGAAGCGTGGTGCCGGTAATAGATCTGCCACAGGGCTTGTTTTTCGCCACGCTTTGGCCTCCTCCGGGTACTCGCCATTTTAGCCAGCTTATGTACCGCGCTTTAGCTCTTTCCAGTACCCACGCCGGGCTGTAGTAAATAGCCTCAAACTTTCTCTGGTTTCCGTGACATGTCTTGGTTCAATTTTCTCATGCCCATACGCGTACGTGTTTATCCCATCAATAGCTATCCAACGTTTAGTGTCCATAGGCGACAGGGATGTCTTGTTTATAGTCAGTCCGTATATCTTATGGCCATCACTTCTAAGTGTGTTCATTTTATGCCTAAAGGTACGGGTCTTGAACAGTGCTTCCTTGAATCTGGCGTGTTTGATGTGTTGTTTCACCACATACTTCTTAACACCCTTAGCCTTCCGGATTTCACCATTGTCGGCCTTCAGTATGGAGTACATCTTAGGCCTCAACCCTATGTACTGCTATGGGCGCCAGCACACTCGTCCTTCATCTTACCTAGGACCTTTTATTTACCGCACTGTGTATGGCATGGCCCTTAGGGTAGTCGCTGGTGTCATACAAATCGAGGTGTTTTTTCATGTCAACGCACAACGCCCTCGGTTCGAATCTCCATCAGCAGGGAATCCGTGTCAGTGTACAGCACTTCACACCTGTCGTCGTGACTCGTTTCTTGAGCTCGCTGTAGTAAAAAGTCGTACATCAGGTGTTTGGATAAATCGAGGATGCTCATCCCCACGTAAACAGGCCGGTTGAATTTTATGTGGCTTTTCT